GGGAGGGAGGGATGAGGGAGGGAGGGAGGGATGAGGGATGGAGGGATGCCCTTGCTCCCTGAAAAAAGTCAAAACCAAACCCAACCTGGGATTCTGTAGTTATGCAGGTGTGGACCATTTGACTGTTAAGTAGCTAAGTGATAAAAGGAGACCTTATTTGTCCCCTCAGCTGATGAGATCTGGGGACATTCTGGTTACAGAGGAATAGCAGTCTTGATTCTTCCTTACAGGCAACATAAACCAACTCTGGCAGGTTTAATTAGAAAAATAAATTTGTTAAAAACATATTTGATAGCAATTCTATTCATTCCCCCTCAAGTGGCAACCACTCAAATGTCCATCCACAGGTGAATGGACAAGTAAACAGGGGTGTGTCCCTACAACATAGTACTAGCCAATAAAAGGGAATGGACTAATGATAAATAAAAGAACTTGGCAGAATCTCCAAGACAAGCTGAGGAAGGGCCCAGACACAAAGGGCCACCTATGTGTAATTCCATTTATAAGACATTGTTAGAGTCTGTAAACAAGTCAAAATAACACCTGGTATTTTGCCAGGGGAATGTTAGAGTTGGTAAACAAGTCTGGATGGTGCCTGGCAAAATGCCAGAGGAAGTGGTTTGAGAAGTAACAAAAGCAAGCCATTAAGTGTGGAGATTCCTTATTGGTTGACTGATGTATCTAGTTTATGCTAATTAAGATAAGCTGTGCAAAATGTATAAATAGCTCTGTTGTCTTACAATAACCGGCTCCTACTCCTGCTGTATCAATCTACAGAAGTTATTTGTCCCCCCCCCCCCCCCCTTATTCTGTTGCAGCCGCAGGATAGCCGCCAGACTGCGGCAAGACATTCTTGAAGACAAAAGATGGAGAGCAGATCCGTGGTTGTTTGGGTTTAGGAGCTGGGGAGGGGGTTCCCTGGAGGGATGAAAACTGTTCCTATGCTTGTGTGATAGTTGTGCCAAGTTGTGCATGTAGCAGACTCACTGAGGACGGTGAAACAAGACAAAAGCAAAAATGTGACTTGGTTGCAGTGATGTCTGGGGGATGCTTTCAGAAAGTCACTAAAACATCCTTGAATTGTTCAACTACAAAGTGTGAGTTTTATGGTAATTTATTCCAAGAAGAGCAGGGGTTGGGGAGGTAGGGGGTAAAGAAGGTTCGTTATATTATTATTTCTACCTTTGTATGTGCCTTCAAATGTTCATGTTAAATAATAAGCAGTGAAAGGAGACTGGGTAACTCACAGAATATTCCTAAAATCAGGTCTGAGACCTCCAGCCAATAGCAGAGCTCAAATACCAGAGAGAAACCTCGTAGCTGCCATCGCCGGGACCCGCATCTGACCGTGGACCCTGCTGTCTCTGCATGGGAGGGTGCCCCCTGGTTGCAGCTGAACTTCTGCATGCTCTGCCACTGTCAAGAGTTCTTTCTGGTCCCTTTCCTTCATTAGTTCTCTTGTGAGAGTCCACGGTTGATGCCTGTGTCTGGAGGAAACTCTGTTCTAGGTCTGTTTCCTGGGAAAGGGAGTAACTTACACTTCCACCTCTGGCATGGAAGACTCTGCGTCGCGCTAAAAAGTACAAGGAGAGAGAACTCCCCAGACATAGGAAGGGAGTACAGACACTGACCATGCAAAACGCAGGCCCATGTCCACGGCACCAGCGAGCACCACTTCCTTTTAATTGTTGACTTAAATTGGCCTCTTTTGGTCTGGACATGCTTCCTATTGTAGCAGTACACCTGCACATTCTCCAAAACGCTAGGATGTGTGACAGGTGTCCACTGGCCTCTGCATCTCTTCTTCCACATGCTCCACACAGTTTCTGAATAAATGCACATTTCCTAACCTCTTAGCATTTTCTGCTCCAATGTGTTTCACTGCACAAACTTTGCCTTCTTCATTTTTTCTTTCTTTCTTTCTTTCTTTCTTTTTTTTTTTTTTTTTTTTTATAGCCTTTTTAATATTTATTTTTTAGGGGTAGATGGACACAATACCTTTTTTTTTTTTTTTTTTGGTGCTTAGGATTGAACCCAGGGTTGCCACTGAGCTACATCCCCAGCTCTTTTTTCATTTTTATTTATTTTGAGACAGGGTCTCACTAAGTTGCTGAGTCTGCCCTTGAACTTGCTTCCTTGATTCTCCTGCCTCAGTCTACTTTCTACCATCGTGGCCAAAAGATGTCAAGGCGATGAGACCCAGACTTTGGGAATCATGTCAGATTGTTGCTATGTACCCTGGGGGGATTGAGCAGAAAGCAAGTTCACAGGAGTCCACTTACTCTGATGTCCTTGTCCTTTGGCAAAAACTTTGTCCTGGAGGAAGGGTGCTCTCAAAGTCTTAAATTTCACAGAATGACAAAATGACTCCACAGGGATTTCTTTCCACCACAGCGCTTGGCTGTCCTGCTGCACGGAGGGTTCCCATGCATCATTGTAGGAGAGGCTCCTGTATCGCTTTATAGTGCTTCCAGGTCATTAATAAGTTATTCTTCCCTAAATCTTCAGGTCAATATTAACATCTTCCATTTTAAATGGAGCTGTCTGGACATGGAGGTTAAGTGACTGGCCCAAGATTAGGGAGTGAGACGTTCAAACCTGGGACTGTATGACTCCATAAAAAGAGAAGATTGCACACTGTATTATTCATTGAAAGGAGGCTGGACTTAATTCAGACCCATTTAAAAGTCAAAGGCAAGAGAAGGATTAATTGCATGCTGAGCTGATTCCTTTTAAAACTTGGCTGAGTGGAGGGCTGGCCCCGGAGGAGTCAATGACCTTGCCACTGTAAGATGCTCCTAAATCAATCCCCCTGGGCGCCTACCCAGGGACACGCGAACTGTCAGTGGACATATTTCTCCCTGTGTTTTTATGTACAATTCAGGCTTACGGTCTGAAAGTGACCTTCTTAGGATTGATGAGAGAGGTGGTTTAGGCCCAGGGTCACTCAGTTTGATATTAAAAAATATTTAGTGTGAAGTTAATAATAAATTGAGAATGAATTTCATAGATTAAAATAATTTATTATAAAAATGTATAATTTCTCTTCTTCTTTGTGTGTGTGTGTGTGTGTGGGGGGGTGGTACTGGGGCTTGAACCCAGGGGTGCCCTACCACTGAGCTACATCCCCATCTTTTTGTGTATGTGTGTGTGTGT